GGGAGGCACACCTCTCATAGCGATCTTGGTGAGAGGACTCAAAATCTGCAACAACAGATGGTGGTGAAGTGGTGTGGGTTTCAAAGCCCGCTTACCTGCTCACCGACGGAGATAAACTTGAGCACGATCTCTTCAAACGTGGCCGCTTCCGATGTCTGCACAGACGAGGACAGTGGTAATGACATAAGTGAAGACGCGCCATACTGAATGAATAATTATGATATGAGGGCATCAACTCCAAGTTCCTCCAGCTCATGGCCCTGTCTCCCAACTCTCCTCTTTAGGACATCACCACTTCTTGCCATCACCCCCTGTTGCATCCCTTCTCCCTGGCCCAACATCAACCACCATTAGCGACAGGGCCAGGAAGGTGTAGGCTTTAGGGTTTAGGGTTCAGGCAGGAGGTACGTACTAGGTTGCACGGAAGAAAACAGGATATCTTCCCTCCAGAGCCCAGAAAACGAAGAACCCATGCCGTTGAATGCTACACACGTGTGGATGCCATCAAACAGGCATCAGTTCGAATCATGATGGTCATCTCGAAATTAGCACTGCAATACAAACAACTTTTGGCCGAGGGTCATCTTGAAATTGGCAACCAACTTCAAACCACCACTACCTTTCCCAGGCAAAGTCGAGAATTGAAAATGCGACATTCTGAAGACTTCGGAGTGGTTGAAGGAGCGATTGATGCTAACCGGAGGTTCCTTCGGCGGCTATGGAAGGAAGCATTCAGTGGATGGTACTGTACATGTTGGGACTTGCCGGTGGAACAGGAGCTGGTACTGTACATGTTGGGACTTGCCGGTGGAACAGGAGCTGGTACTGTGCATGTTGGGACTTGCCGGTGGAACAGNTTGCCGGTGGAACAGGAGCTGGTACTGTACATGTTGGGACTTGCCGGTGGAACAGGAGCTGGTACTGTGCATGTTGGGACTTGCCGGTGGAACAGGACCTGGACTGCTGCTCGCCAGAATAGAATGCAGTAAGGACCATGACCATAAGGACTGCCTGCACCCATTTTAATTTTTCAACTCATTTACACCACCAGTGCCTCCTAAACGGTGCGCCATTAACACACTGGTTTAAACCACCAGTGCCTCCTAAAGGTGCGCCATTAACGTGCTGGTTAAGACCACCAGTGCCTCCTCGTAAAGGTTCGCCCTTAAGACGCTGGCTGTTTGGTGGGTGTACAGGCCAGCCTGCTCATTCATAATGAGCCGTCAAAGTACAGTACAGCGTAGCTGGAAACTGGTTTGAAGATAGAAAAGGGGAAAACAAAGAAAACGGACTTTTTTTCAACTTCAGACCTCAGCATGCTTGGTTGTGTAGCACAGACGAGGAAAACAGACTTCAAGGTCCAGACGTCAGACCTGCAGGCACACTTGCACCAATTGTCTGCTTGACCTTGCAGTGACGGCTTGCTCTCGGCCTTTCCTGCCATCACATGGGTGCTTCCCCACATAGACTCCAGAAGGTTCCACGGGGGGGTGCCCTGGGCACGCATTCAAAAAATTTGACAAGATCCTCTCAACCCTCTAAAGCCCGTCAGCCGCAGGTACAGTTTTATTCTAATGCTGCCACCAAGGGGCTCTTTTTGTGTGCAGTTTTCCTAGGTTCAATCCAATCAGCCTACTGCACCGATGGATTTTTCACTTTGGACGTGAAGCTTGGCCTCTGCCGCGTTCTGCATTTTCAAATCTCCCTTATCGTCAATCAGAATGCTGGGGCTCCCTGTGGGAGTTCGGATAGCAGGTTTTGGTAAAGGACAAACTGCTTTTGCGTCAGGGTCGAATGTGCTTGGGCCTCGCCACGCCGCTCACCAAATATGAGGAATACAAGAACTATAAGGCGGGTGTATCTTTCCATGTTCCCCTCAGATTTTGCACTTGTTCTTTTTTTTTTTTTTTTGAAAGTTGCTGCGCATGGGCCTTGGCTCTTTCGGAAGGCGCTCTTGCTCGCTGGTGTGTGCGACTGCAGGTAAATGACAACACGGCCAGGCAGAGCAGGCAGAGTGGTCCTCCCGACGGCTGGTAGTCTTCCACCTGATGAGATGGAGAAGACACCTTCGAAGTGCGTGTGCGTGTGTG